TTGATTCCTCGTCGATTGCAAAAGAAATCTTGTTCGGCATCGAAAATTTTATGATCAATAATTACACTTGAGCAATCGAATCCGATTACGACATCGATTTTTCGGTTTGGATGAGTTATTGGGTACATCGGAAAATCATTGGATACGCCGGAATCAATTAGGCCAAATTTTTTATTGTTAGTGGGACCAAGTTCATATGGTGGTGGATTGAGGCGGTATATGAAACTATAGTTCTGTGGTTGTGATACAGGATGCATGCCTTCGAATTCTTGTTTCTTGTAGGGTCCTATTTTTTCCATAGCCTTATGAAAGAATTCAATTAGAACAACAAGGTCTATACGAATTGATGATATTCGCTTATCACACACACCTCGTCATATGTCTTCTTAAATTCGGTTTTAAATTTTCCTTCAGGAAGAAGTAGCAGGAATTGCGTAATGTCCGAGATAAGCGGCCCGGACGGCGCCGCTCCTATCAAACTGTAGCGTGAAGATTGATTAAACCGGAAAAGAGAAATAATCGAATGGCAATTGGAATTATTGTCACTAACCCTATTAATAATCCAAGGTTTTGTTCGGGGTGACGTTCAAGGCTCTTCCCGGACTCAAATTTTCGACCAAATGCCCAAGCGGGAATCCAGGCTGTTTTAGGAATTGATAATTTTATCTTGTCAGTAAAAGTGTGTCGAAATGGTAAGATCAAAAGAATTTCCTTAATGTGATCTTTAACGAACCGGTAGCTTCGTCGGACCCAACTTCATAAGGATTAAACTCGTACCATCGGTAATGATCTGGTTTCTTTTTATGTTCTTCCAAAACTTGTTCGTAGTTTGGAATCAATGCTGCGTCTTCTGGTTCAAGGGAATCCTTCCACGGGCGAATTTGTTCAACTCTAATTCACGAAACATGATTATTATTTCGATTCCTTAAGATATATATTAAAGATGGAAACGTCAAAACTTACGCGACGTAAAGAGGCATCATATTCTTTCCACCTTCCAAGTACTTTCTCTGATGGCTTAGTTTAAAGTCGCTATGTTGTTTTGACGGATCCGAACCCAACATGAGTTTCACGGCTAACAATGCGCCATAAAGGTCCATGATCGTCAGTTTCATCCCAGTATTTTTTTTCTGTAACAAACCACCGAACGTTAATTCAACAGCTGATTCTGGGGAGGCATTTTGAGCGAGGTTCATGAGAACACCGTGTCCACTGGCAAGACCGTGACCGAGTTTTGTTTGGTAAAATTCAATGAGAGCCTGAAGTGGATTTTCATGCAATTGTGCAACCGAGGAATAGAGTTGTGCCAAATTCCAACAACTGCCGCTGAGTCCTGAATTAATTTTTCAAGTCAGCGCGAAGAAATTGTTGATAATTGAACAAATGCAGTAAGTTGAACAGGATTCTCTCACCTGAGATGTATACACCGCAATCGTAAAGCCCGGCTTCTTTTAAGCAGGAGAAGTAAGCTGAAAATGTGGTTGAGAAAGTGAACATCTTTTTAAGTTGAATTGTTATCCGTATCTATGGTCAAATCAATTTACCATACCTGTCACTGCGATCATGGCTCTAAATCCACCGCCGCTTCCCATAAACGTAATTTCCGGGATATCGTCAACGTGGATCTCGCTTACATCGACACCTACATACTTTGCAAACGCTTCACGGATAAAAACCTTCCTTTCACGAACAAATTTGACTTCTTCTTCGCACAGATCATTAGATTTGCTATTAACAGTTAAATTAACTTAGCAAATTCCCGCAAATACATAAGACGTTATTTTTCAAGTTCAGGGAAATTACCGCACGACCGCATCCCACTCAAGTTCGGGATGGACAGTTGCGTCTTTTAATTTCGGTTCGACGATATCATCCAAGTCCTTGAAGGCCTTGATCACTTTTTCGTCAAGTTGAAAATTATCTGGTACGATCTTGTCCACCACCTTTTCTAAACCTTCACGTAATTGTTCCAACCAGGAACGTCTGTAATGAATTCAATGTTATGAATAGGTCAGATACCGGTCAAAAGAAGAAAACCGAAAATTCGAGAAAGATAATTACTGTTCTTCGACTACTTCCATAGCGAGTTTTTACGAATTTCTCAAAACAATTGCCTCCAAACTTTTCGACCAACTAACGTGGATCTCATTAACAATTGTGGTTGTTAAAGATATTTTATAATCAACCGTTCGCAGATCTTTGATCGCTAAAAACCAATACAATTGTGCACTCGAATTATGTGAAGTTACTTCCATCCAGTGTAAACAGGTTTCGTCAATAACATTTGTGCACCCTTCAGT